ATGAAAAATACTTTAATATAGCCAAGTGCCTGTTGGTTTTATAGGAATGTAGACATGCCTCTGGAACAAGGGGCTGGTGTCTGGAAAGCAGCAACTCCAAAGTTTTTGGGATTGTAGTGGATGATGAAAAAAGAACAGCTCAGCATGATTTCTTGAATCCAATTTTTCATTGCTTTTACAGAACAAAAAGTGCGTTTAATAGCTGATGGCTACTTTCTGATAGGTGAGGTCCTTGAGGGGAGATTTTTAGTTTACGGAATCCAGAAAGGTTACTATAGGAGCATATAATGGGCTCTGGTTTTAGTCCAGCAAAAGCATAATATGAACCTAGGGCTGGAAAGTGGATACATGCAATAAACAATTCTAGCAGTATGACTAATGATTGAAAGAACCAAGGAAGTTGAAATATTGGCTGTCTTCAGGAAAAGAGCAGATGTTTTTCTGAAAAATATTTCTGTTCAAATGTGGTGTTCTCTAGTCAGATAAAAATTATGAGCAGGTGAGTGAAATTTAACACTTGGCCTGAGAAGAACTAGATTTTTGTGATCTAGTAGTCCTATCTAGTATTATCTTTAGTAGTGAGTGTGGAGCAGTTATAACAGGTTATGAGCATGCTATTAAATGGAGTGGAAACTGCTTGCAATGAAAATAGGAGGTTGTATTTTATATATTCAGGGCATGGACAATGAAGGACCAGACAAATTTTGAGATACTGTAGGTGGCTCTGGGTTTTCTCTCTTAAAATTGTGGTCATATTCTTCTGGCTAAAGAAAGTAAAGATTTACTACAGAAACTATCAGAAGGGAAAAAATAGAATGCATACAAATTGGTGGAAAGTGGATGAAGGCAAACATTTTCTGTACAATATTGGTAGTCTTAGTTCTTATTTTAAACAATAGCAATACTTTGAAAAAAAAAAGGAGAGGAAGTGTATTTTGGTGGGAGTGTTTGCTTTACCAGGAAGCAGCATGAGAATTTGTTCTAATTTCTGTAACTTCAGTACATCATATCAAAGTAGTAATAAGGTTTTTTATTTCTGATTTATTGATGTTGAGATTTTGAGGATGCTGGAGTGTACTTTACTGTTGTCCTTGCCATTCCTATTCTCCTACCCTAGAAGCTGGTAGCTAGTTGTTAAATATGTTGTCTGTTAGGTGATTGGAGATTTGATTTTTATCATAGGAACAGGAGCTGGAAAGCATAGGCATTTTGCTGCAGATGGAGGAAATACCCTTGTGAAGCTGACATTGACAAATGGTTCATGACAATTCATTTAGTTCTGGGAACATGCCAGAGTCTTGGTGGAAGATTTGTGAGTGTAGTGTACGGTGAGCGTAATGACTTGGTTAGGGGCTGAAAATACTACTTCTACGAAATACTAAATACATCTGTGTAATAAAACTTTTCAGCTGCTGCAGCATGAAATACATGTTTTGACAAACGTCATAATCCCAGCAGAGTTCTCAATGAAGTGCTTGACTGGAGCTTGTGGCAGTGAGTTTGCCTTTGGGTGTAAAGTAAACCTGAGTACAGCTGAGCTTGTAGCTTCAGACTTCGGATTGCACGCTGGTTCCCTTGTAGAGAGCCTTTCCTCTCTCACACATCACGCATGCTTCTGCGCTGTCACAAACATCCTCAGGCTCCTCACTTTGCTTAGGTTTTGGGATTCATCAGTGTTTTGTCCATGGTTAGTCTTATCCTGGGTTATGAGTGTAAGAAGCTGATGATATTACAAAGAACTCAATATTTAATCAAGGGATTGCAGACCACAAGGCTGCTACTTGTGCCTTTAGTTTTAGAGCTCTTTGGGGCATATAATGCAGGAGCCTTGGCACCACAAAAAGTACAGTAGACATTGTTTTAAAATAACAGGTACAGTGGAGAAAGGGCTGAAAACAGAGGAGCAGCCTTTTTAACTGGAAATATACTTAAGCTGAATCCTTGTTCTTTGTTTTGTTCAGTAAATACTTGTGGGCTGATAGTATTATGATCAGGACAGAGTTGTTTTCTAGAAATGAGGGATTAAAGTGCACTATATTGGAAGCAAGGCAAGGGAAAGAAATGGAGGGAGGAGCTGTGATGGTACTAGTTTTTTCATGACCTAGTGTGTTTTATGTAAGTGAGTGATATGAGAGTACATGAAACATGCATACTTTGTCTCTGAGTGGTGATTGCTCCCTGTCAGCCCCTCTGCACTGTTCTTAAATCAGGTGTTTCATGGACGAAGTCCTATGAGATGCCCATTTTCAGGGATACATATGCTTTCAGTGAAGCTGCCCATGGGATGACAGATGAAATTGGCTCTTGTCTGCGATGTCCTTTAAACTGGGCTGCTAGTAATTTATATAATTAAAAATGTATCATGCCTGGAAGACCTATAGTCAAATGGCACATGCTGAAGGTGTTCTTTGTGAGTGTTTGAATGCATCAGTTCTTCTTCTTCACCACCACCAATGGAATTAAAGGTGATTTTGTGTAAATTTAATTTAAAATACAAACATTGTACATGCAAGTTTCTGTCTAGCTATACCTAACCTGTATTGGCTTGAGACCTGGTTTGCAAGTGCTTGTATCAATAGAAACAGATTAGCCCTAGGAAGTTGTAGCTGTCTAGCTGCTACTTTTTAAACAGGAATAGCTATTAGGAAAACCAACCGCACAGCGAACAGCCAACCCCTCTACAAACCCAAACCACCCCTTTTTCCCTTAAGGCCCCAGCTGGCCAGCTCCACTAGCCCGGGTACCTGTGCAAGGATGTCTTTATTGAAACAGCATGGTGAAACCAGGGCAGTTTCCTTCTCTGCTTGGTCTGACTTGTTGTACTAGTATCAGCAAGGACACGGTACTTACTTTATTACTGGTTTTGAACTCACGCTCTCAGAGCAATCAGTTTAAGGTGTTACTCCCACCCCTAGCAGAGCTGCCAAGAAAGAACTACGAATTGCTGGTTCACTGTACTTACGTGAGTTCAAACCTGCCTCCACTAGTGATAGGAGCTGAAAATATAAGACACAAGGATACATTAAATGAGCAGGAGCAGTGCAATGTGTTGGTGTTCTGCAACAAAATTTATCAGAACTGCTGTGTGGAGTACTAAGTTATGCCTGTGTGCTGATGATAGACCACCTACCACCTTAATTAGTTCTACTGGTGTAGTTTTTGGGTAAACTGTTTCCCAGACTGATGTAGTTACTTTGTATATTTGTGTGTGTTTTCAGTGGATGAAATTTTCTAACATTTTAATTAAATTGCAAGTTGATTCCATGGAGAAGACTTTGCTGAAGTTTGATTACATATTCTTGTCTTTTTAAGCGGAGCTGCAGTGTAGCTGTTTGTAAGGGTAGTTTGACTTTACTTTTATCTTGAAAGTTCATGGCCAAGATAGAATTTCTGCAGATGTTGCAGCAGGGAAGTGTGAGCATCTGTATGATTAAAACACCTCCCCTACTTCTCTGCCCCATCTGTTTTGCAGCTTTCTGAAACGAAAGTCTTCACAGCTTCATCTGTTCCAGCTGAGAATCATGTGACTCCAGGACAAAGGTAAGCTCTTCTTTCGTGTTTTCCCTAGATGTTAAAAACCTTCTGCTTGATGAAGCAATGGTAGCTTGCATGCATAAAGTATTGTATAAAACTTTGGTCAGAGATGCGTCAAACTCCTCTGAAAATTGCAAAAGCCTTGTTTATAAATTGCTGGCTTTGTGGATTCCTGAGTTATTTTTTTTGACCATGGAAATGGAGACAAACTTACCAAATCTGTGAGCTTAATGTCTTCTGCATGAGGACTGGTTGCTGGCAGCAACAAAGGCAGCTGAAAAGTTTTCTGCTGTTGAAAAGGACACTCTGGCTTTGCTGTCCAGAAAATGGAAAGCCTGCCCTTGTAGATGCAGAAAGTGCTTTGACAGCTGTGTTAACACAAAAGCTTGCATTGACAAGAAGATGATTTTCTGGTAAACATCACAATTACTGCCCTTTACTGATGATAGACAGCTACGGTCAAAAACCAAAAATACATCAGTTGCTGCCTTTTTTTTGCTTACCTGTGTCTTCCAAAACCTGGCTGGAGGTGCTATGGGATCAATTGCCTCAGGTTCTTGGAGAGCAGGTTAAAGTTGTTTGATGAATACTCTGGTAGTTGAATAGCATGACATCTGAAAACTAAATACCCTAATCGTTCCAAACATTCTTACACTGCTGCTGTACTGCAGCAAAATTTTCCATATAACATGGATGTGATTTGCAGGAGGCATGGTGTTTGGTGGTCTACAGTTTATATTCCTTTCTTACAGGTAATATGCTCATGTTCTTTGTTCTATTCTTGCAGTAGATATCTCTCAAATTATGTTAGAAAACATTTTAGTTTGTCAGCTTTAGTCGGAGTGGGGTTTTATGTTCGTTTCTTGATGGCTTTTCTTTGTGGGTGTATGTTTTATGGGGAAGGGGAACTTGTTATAAGAAAGTTTTGAGCATTAAGAAGTCTATCCTGATGAAAGTGCTGGAAGCAGATTTTCAGCCCGAGGCTGGAGAGTAAATATGTGTAGGGATTTTTGCTTTCTAGCAAAAACATCCCTTCTGTCTCTTTGGTATGGTAGACTAGCAACATTTGGAAAGACTGTTAATCAGTAATAATTCTGTTGCTAGGATGGCAGTTTTAGTGTTGTTTGTGCTTTCTTCAGTGTCAGTGCAGTTTAATCGTCGTGTTCATTCCAGCCAAATTTCATATTGTCTTACAGCATTGATTTAGTGACACTCCTTCAAAAGCCAGTGACATCTACCCAGGAGGCAGAAGGAAACTCATTTGAGTCTCCCCAGCAGCAGACCTTTGGCCAAGCCTTAGTCTTCACAAATTCTCAGCACAGCACCCAGATGGCATCAGGAACTGCTGGCTCCAGGGTTGTAAACTCTTACTCTCCCCAAAGTCTGGTAAAATTATCTTATGCTTTCTAAATATTGTTAATGAGTAAACATTTCAGGTTAAACAACTTTTCCAGTACTGATCATTTCATGAGATGTTTCAGTATTTGTAAAATTCAGGCTGCAAATGAAGAATTCCATTCCTTCTATTCACACTGCCCCAAGAAAATACTGCATTTTTTCATTTTGCTAAGTAGTTGTTCTGGGGTTTACATGAAGTACTTGTATTAATTTTTGATTAGAGAGCAGATGTGTTTACTGCTTGCTGATGTAGAATAAAATAATTTGTTTACAGTGAAGAGTTCTAGGCCAGAAAACTGCTGTGTTATTTCTGGGCACATATTTGAGTGCGTTTTGTGGAAATGTGCCTATTGAGTCAATGTTGAGGGCGTGAAATTGAGCATTTGTTCTCTGAAAATCATTACTGCTATCATTGCTATATTACTATTAGTAAATATGTGCTATTTTGAGATGCATAGGTTACAGTAAATTAGTAGCATTGCAGTTACAGTGGTGGAAGGTTTTGTTGGTCATTTGTTAGTAAGCTAGGTCTGAAGAGGTTTTAGTTGCTGCCAAATAGCAGTTCTAGGCATTGACTCTGTGATTATGTTCTAATTATTAACTAAACAATTAACTCCACTCCTACCCTTTTCTTTTCGTAGTCTACAGTTCTTTGTTCTGGCTTTGGAGAACTCAGATCCTCTAAACTGGCAAACTCTACTGGTTCCCAAATCTTGGATCAGTTGAAATCTCCAGGGTTGGGTCAGTTTTCCTCTGAGCCAAACAACAGTAGTTCTGCCACCACTGGCACAGCTGCTGCATCATCCTGGGATCTAAAACCACCTATTCCTCAGTCCTCAGTCCTCGGTCAGTTTGGTAAGCGCTTTGACATAGCTTCTTGTCTCTTTCAGTTAGCTCTTAAGATGTCTTGATGCCAGTGGCAATTAAAAATGGCCTTAATGAAAGATATTTTTCTAAAAAATGGTAGTACAGTGAGTTACAACATTGCAACAGTTACACTTACTTGCTGGTAGTTTAAGCCTACCCATAAATGTCATTGCATCTTTGACATTATTGAGCCTTCCATGTAATGGCATCTTTGATTCAGTGTGCTGAGTATTTAAGTGGAACTTGATTGTGTCTGTTTTGCAACGAATACTGGAAAAGACTTTTCAGCATGCCTATGCTGGTTCTGAGTGTAAAAATGTACTCTATTTTGTCTTTTTTCTCCCCAAAATTTTCTCTTCTAACCATTATATGAATTTTGTATGAGTACTCTGTCATTTCTTTGTAGTG